TCGCACAGGTCAGCTGGTGGAGGCTCCTCTGTCTGAGCTGGCAGAAGAAAGCACCCAGTCCTTCATGGAGTGTGTCTATGAAATCAGCAGGCAAATCCAGTCCCTTCCTCCAAAGACAAAAAATGAAACCAACCAACAACACCCCACCCCACCCCCCACCCCAGGACACCACCAAGAGACAGACTGATGAATGTGACCAAGGGCCTACTCTCACCCCGAGGCCCCAGGAGCAGGAGCTGGTGGGACACGGGGAAGTCTCACCAAAGTGATAATCCTGTATTTCCTCTACACCCTGCACAGGTGAGCAACTGTATTTCCCATAACACCCAGGGCCCAGGGGAAGGTGGGGTGTGGGAAAGTGGGTGAAGGAGAAATAGTGGGGAAAGAGGAGGTAGGATTGGGGGGTCAGGTGGTGGCAGCTCTGTGGTCTCTTACAGGCTTAGAATCTGGTGGGGAAAGGAAGAGTAGGGGGCTTGAGTGGTATTGACACTGTTTTCTTGTATGAAGTTGGGAAAACATGAACTGTTTATAACAAAAAGTAGTGATGGGGAGGATGGGGGATGGAATAGATGGGGGACTATTGTCCTCCAAGCAACCGGTTGGAAATGACCCAGAGGTGTCCAAGAAAAGGGAAAGGGTGAGGAATTTGCGGGGAGCTGGAGAAGGGGTGGGTTGAAAACCTAGGCAATCACCGAACTCCAGCAGGGCAAGGCCTGGCTTCGGATGCCATCGTCGAAGGCGCCTTGCTTTGGGGGCACGGGTGGGTGGGGTGTAGGTGGTGCGAGAAGCTGGTGAAAAGGAGCTCTACGGAGAGACATTCTGGGCAAGTGGTCCTCCTTCCCTGGGTAAAAAGACCAGAGGCTACTGGGGGGGGGGGTGCAAAAAGGGAAAGGGGTGGGGGTGGCGAAAGAAGTGGACATAAAACCCGAGGAAAGGAAGAAAGAGCTTTCTAAATCATCAGCGTGAGGAAGCAGGGGTAGGGGGTGGGTGGCACGTGGGAAATAAGAAGACATCAGCAGGCACTTGAGGCCTGGGTTGGCAAGTTCTCTTACAGGGAAAAGGGAGGCTCAGGGAGGTTGGGTCATGGCAGGTGCTGTGTACGTGTGTGTGTGTGTTGTGTTGGTGTGTGTGTGTGTGTGTGTAAGCGGCCGGGGGTCAGCTCTTCCCATCAGGCAACACTGCCAGGTGAGTCCTCGCGAGGGACTCGCCCGAGATGGGTCTCCCGGGGGCCCCCTTCGGCGCTCAAGTCCAGGCAAGAGAGGAGCAGGAGGAGGAAGTCGGACAGGGAAGGGGGGTGGAAGCAAACCTAAGCCGGGGTCGCGGGCGCTCCGCTGACCCTGCCACTCAGCGGAGGGCAGGGCGGCGAAGGCCCGGCGCCGGGCTGGTGCGCATCGCTGCGCGCGCGGGGCGCGCCGCTCACCTATGGTCGACACCACGGTGCCCACGAA